ACGAAGAAAATATAAAAAACAAAACAAACAACCGAACAAATTTTGCTGTTGGGAATATTTTAAAAATCGATTGGTGATTATTTAAATGATCAAAGAAAGTCAATCTTCACTGGAAATGAGTCGTCCGAAATAGTAATTAGCTCTCATTACTGATTCACTGCAATGAGTGGTTTATGCGAAGAATAAGAGCCAACCGATTTACATACACATTAAAACAAATCACAGCTGTAAGCTGTGCGCTTATCGTCTCATTGTATCCGATTCAACACAATGAAGTTAGTAGCTCGTATCAGTCACACGTAAAAGAGAGAGAGAGAGTTCTCTCCCTCGCCCTCGTTTACATGTAATTCAATACTAGCTGCTTGCTTCATTGTGTTGAAGCAAATCCAACGACGCGCGTCATTTCACAGTCGCAGCATCGCGCAGTTGTTGCCGCATTTCAACTACATCTACAGATGTGTATAAGATGACAGTGTTGCGCCTGCGCCTTAGTTGGCGTCGGTCAATACCAAGAAGCAAGCAGGTTGTATTAGAGAGAGAGCTCTCTCTTTTTACAATGCTACAGCTTACGGCTGTGATTTGTTTTAGTGTGTATGTACATCGATGGCTCTTATTCTTCACATAAACCACTCATTTCAGTGAATCAGTAATGAGAGCTAATTACTATTTCGGACGACTCATTTCCAGTGAAGATTGACTTTCTTTGATCATTTAAATAATCACCAATCGATTTTTAAAATATTCCCAACAGCAAAATTTGTTCGGTTGTTTGTTTTGTTTTTTATATTTTCTTCGTCGTTCTTATTTTTTCACATCACGAAAAATTCTCGGAAAAAGAAGAATCCGTTGATATTTTGCCGGTGCTATCAAACTCTCTTCGCAAAAGGTCATTTGCTATCGATTTTCTTACAAGAAAATAGGTGAAAACATCTTTTTTTTTCAACGAATGGGATTAAATGAAATTAATTTATTTTCCGTTTGATTTGTGAGCAGAACTCAAGCATACATACGTGTTGATTAAAAATTAGCATCGGAACAATATTTGTACGTTGGATAAGGTGACCTTGAAATCAGTGCATACAGTGTTCATGCTCGCTGGAAATCGCTGGCTTCGTTTGCAAGGAGGTGGTACGCTAACACTTTTGAATTGAAAAGCAATTTTGGTCGAATTGGCAAAAAAATGAGCAATTGATTATCAATGGTTTTTCTTTTTGTATAGACGGTTTTAAATGGTCAACACAAACACAAAACACTAGACGAAAACTATTCGCAGCGTCTTGTGAATGTGATAACTGAGTAAACCGTTTGGAGATCGGTTGAAACAGCATTTGTTTGAAGAAGAGAGCAGAAGAGAGCAGAAGAGAGGTAAAAATAGTTTAATTTCTCAATGAATGATATTTAATTTTTTTCATTCGATTTATAATTAGCAATCAAGCTTCGAGGAACGACAGACTTGTTGGTATCTGGATTCTTTTGCAACCACTGTGTGAACTGTGTGCCTGGTGATCATCGTGATAGCTCATTTGTGTGTAGGTTAAATGTTTGTTTGTTTGTTTTTCTCGAATGTTCTGATATGCAACGGGTGATTTTAAATTGTTCTCTTCAAACAGACATCCAAAACGGCTTGCAACTATTACCGAAAGACACGATCGACTGAAGAGAGTGGAAGACAAACGACTGTTTGCACTGGTTCTCATTGCAATTGTTTTGCTGTGGAAATTGGACTAACTTTGATTTCGGTTGGTGAAAATTTATATCATCGTTTGATCGTTAAATCTAACTATTTGAACATCATTCGACAGACTTTATCTTGAACGTCAGAAAATGTCATTAAATGATCGTCTTCGTAAACGCAAATCAGTCAAGGCGAATTTTATACCAGAAAATGAATCAGACATTGAAAACCGTGACCCTTTTCATGTTTCTTTTGGTGACGAAGAACCGGACTATGTACCACCTTCAAAGAAACCCAAACAAAGCATCAAAAAGGGTGTTGGTCAACGTAAGAAACGTACACGCCGAGAACGACTCGCTCGCCTAAGCCTTATCGCCGAAAAGTATGCCCAAGTTGATGTAGCCGGGCCTAGTTCAAATAGCATTGAACAAGATAAAATGCCGGCAGGCTATGAATCAACGAACATCGATAACCTCTTCGAATCAATTGATTCGAATGAAAAAGTGATTAACGATGAATACATTCAACCCGGACCAACTGAAAAGAGTCAATCTTTAGTTGAAAGTCAGCATACAGATTCGGATTTAGAATCTGTGATTCAAAGACTGGAAGTTCGAATGGATGAGATGGTCAACAGCATTCTCCTCATTAGAAAACAATTGTGCCGAATTGAAATGAAAACACATTCTTCTCCATTTGCGAATGAAAGGTCACCATCCTACATGACAGATGTAGAGGAAAATGAATTATTTGATCTTCAGAAAACTTTGGTTCGCGAAGGTTTACCATTGAGAACAAGCTCTGAAGTTGAGAATTTTGAAGCAAGACTGGAAAATCAACCGGAGTTTCGTCGAAAATTAATTGCTCTGTTATCTGTGTTGAATGGTGCCAGTGGCGATAAGAATGGCAGCAAAGTTATCAAATCTATCGTGGATGAAATAATTCAACCTTCGTGCCAACACTTATTTTCAATGACTGGCAAGTCTGGACCAGGTCTCCCGAGAAAAGTTGCCTTTGAAGGATATTCGGAATTAATCGGTATTATTTTCGCTACGTGTCTCCAAGCCGACAGAACTTATACGTTGAAGCGCTGCATGCATGACCTCACTTACCGAATTCTGAAGCGTGGGAATGCCCAGCGAGATCGGTAAGAATGCATTGAAACACTCCATATGATTTTGAAATAATATTCAAAGTTGGATGTTCATTGATTTTTAGAATCGAGCGTGAAAAAAATGAAGCGGATGTTATCGATAGTAATCAATTGGTGGGAACATTTACAGTGCCAGAACAAAGACACCAACGCAGTGAAACGGTGGCCAGTCTTGATCAGATGGACGATATAAATTCGATTGATGTCAATAATCTTATGAAATTGATACTGAATAATATTAAGAAATCATGTTGAACATTTTAAATTATATTTGTCTCTCTCAATAAAGAATATTGTGATGCACAAATTAAAATAATATGATTTTTCTGTGCCTTATTAATGTTTGATGCACATTTTTTGCATAATTTTTGCATATTTTATGCATAAAATTCGAGAATTTTTGTTAATTAAATATGCGTGAAATGTGCATGAAATTTCAATAAAGCACAAAAAAGGCACATTTAATATAAATTTGGCGCTACTTCTGTGTAACAAAACTTCTCCATAATTTTCGCAAAACTGCATAACACTTGGTTCAGTGGGATGTGAAACTGTGTATATATTGCGATTTCAATGCAAAAGTATTTTCGATTTTTAACAGATTTCCTGACTCATTGGCAAAAGCAATCAATCAACCATATTCAGTTCAAAGTGCCTTGTTATTGGCTCGAGAAAGGTGCGCACATTTTAACCATTCTGTATCAAAATGGGTCTGGGTTTTTAAAATTTGACGATGGTTCTTGCGTTGTTTTCAAAAACCTTGAAAATGATGCGGTCGTCCGAGTTGTTCAACAGCAGGTAGGATCAATATATATTTGTGTTCGACCTTTTTGCAAATGGTTTTTTGATATTTTAGTTCAACGAATTTCGAATTGGGAATTAAATAACATGAACATTCACAGGATGATAGTGGCGGCTCTAGTTCAATCAATGAATCGATGACACGATCTCCGCAGACATCGCACACATCAGAAGCAAATGATTCGGCTTTTGATGTCAATCAAGCAGGCCCTTCTAGCCAATTTTCAGATGACATTTTCAATGAAACACTTATTTTGATTGAAGAAAAATGTATGTCACTGTGCAACAAAACACTGTTTCAATTGAGACTACCACAGACGGACATTCATTTTATATATATAGAAGCTTTCTCGAAGCCTTGATGTCCATTTGTCACAAAAGACCTTTCATATGACACCCATTTTCATATGTGAAATGGTGTTAAGTCGTGTTAACTCGACCATGATGGACCGAGATGGTGTACATGTTCATCTCCGTTCCAAGGCCTTTCATATAACACCCATATTGAGTATTCATATGTGAATTGGTGTTGAGTCGTGTTAAAATGACCATGATGAACCGAGATGGTGTCCATGTTCATCTCTGTTCCAAAACCTTTCATATGACACCCATATTGACTATTCATGGTGTTATTTCGTGTTAACATGACCATGAAATGGTGTTAAGTCGTGTTGAGATGACCATGATGGACCGAGATGGTGTCCATGTACATCCCCGGTCCAAAACCTTTCATATGACACCCATATTGACTATTCACGGTGTTAAGTCGTGTTAACATGACCATGATGGACCGAGATGGTGTCCATGTTCAACTCTTTTCCAAAACCAATATTTCATTGCCATCAATCCACATTAATGTACATTGTATCGAAAAACAATTAAAAAAATTGTTTCTTCAAACTTTTGAAAATTTAATTCGAAAATCAAAACTGATATGTGAATCTGCTATTTAAGCCGCGAGAATTCTAACGACATATTCACCATTAAAACCAAGAATTAAAAAATCATGAAAATAAAAAAAAAATAGGACAAACGCACACACACACAATGAGTTTTATATATATAGATGAATAAAACAAAAAAAAGAGCGCTCACTTATGAGATTGATTCAGTCTGAAAGAAACTCTTGAGCTGATTTAAGGTGACTATCGAAACAATAACAGAAAAAGCTTAAAATGGAAAACATCAACGAACGTGTGGAATTAAAAGTGTGCGAGAGTGCATTCAATAAGCGATTGCGCACTTTTAATATCATGAATAAAGCGGCGCGTGTTGATATTGAAGAATTTTTGAGCAGGAGAAACTTGCTCTCAATCCATTTGATGAGAAACGATTGTATTCTTTTTCCTCAATAAACTTGTTTCTCATTCCAATTTATAAAATCAAAAACCAACCGTCTTTCTTGTTGCGCATTTTATGCATTTTTCAGCCTTTTTTACAGTTATTTTTTCAGCTCTATTCTTCATATCATTCGTTCGAACTATTTAGACATTTCTTTGTGTATTCCATCTCTCGTCCCCAGCTCGCATCTCTTCTTTCTCTACTTTCTCCCGTCCTTGCCACATTCCACACACTCAAAATTTACACGCACCGATTCACCGCTGATTAACAAACCAAACCAAAACACACACGACTGAAGGCAATTCTCCCATCACGCACCAATTCACAGCTAATTAATAAAAATAAACCAAAATACGACTGTCACTGATTCGAGAACACAGGCGACTGTTTCCGAATCGGCGCCGATTCGAGAACATAGGAAAAACAGTCAAATTAACATTGAGCCGATTCGAGAACACACATTTTACATACAAATCGCTATGTTCCCGAATCGGTGTAATGTACTTTCCTATGTTCTCGAATCGGCGTTTTTATACTACTAACTTTGCCGAAAATCATATTGTTATCTCTTATCAGTTTCGTGGAATACGCGAGAAACCGCGAAAAAACGCGTTTTTTCTTATCATTTTTCACGGAACTGATAAGAGATAACGAGATGGTGCCTATGGCAAAGTTGTAGCTCTGGTCAAGTACTATAATTCGCCACAGACACCGAATCGGTATTTTTTTTTTATATCAGTAACGCCAAAAAATGATAAGAAAACATTCGCGTTTTTCACGGTTTTCTGCGGTTTCTCGCGTATTCCGCGAAACTGATAAGAGATAATGAGATAATGTCTATGGCAAAGTTGTACCTCTGGTTAAGTACTTCCACAGACACCAAGTCATTATCTCCTATCAGTTACGCCAAAAAGCCGCGAAAACCGTGAAAAACGCGAATTTTTTCTTATCATTTTTTCGCGTAACTGATAAGAGATAACGTCTTGGTGTCCGTAGTAAAGTTGTATTACTTAAGCTGCTCTACATTTTCGTCATAGACACCATCTCACTATCTCTTATCAGTTTCGCGGAATACGCGAGAAACCGCAGAAAACCCTGAAAAACGCGAATTTTTATCTTATCATTTTTCGCGTAACTGATAAGAGATAACGACTTGATGTCTACGGCGGAGTTGTAGTACATAAACTAGTCTACAACACTGCCACAGACATCAAGTCGATATCTCTTATCATAGTCCAGTTATAATATATAAAATAGCCATGGGGCCCTGTGGTCCCCAAAGAACAAAAGCGTAACATGTTTTTCGGAAGGCTGTATTTTACACATACTCACACATATGCATATGTGCATAAGTCATTCGTGTAGAGAAATGTTCAATCTATACAATGAGACTTAACTCCGGTTGGTTTATACACTGTTTAGTACTTTTATTCAACTTTAAATTTCGCTTGGGGCCCTGGATTCCCCAAAAACCGTCATAGTGTTAAAGAAGGCAGTAGCGAAACGAAGCATCGATACATCAGTCGAGAATCAGCCAGCTGACCAGAAAATGAAATGTGAATATGTGCCAATGGTGTCAATTTACGTGTAGAAATCATTTTCTATCTACAAATATATTTTGTCCGACAGACGTCGTTCTTTGACTGAATGCACTAGTAACACATAAGCCATGAACTGTGAGTAACTACGTGTACCTGGTGTCATGACTACGTGTACCTAGTGTCATGACTACGTGTACCTAGTGTCATTACTACGAACTCACATGAATTTTAAGTAATCTCTCGTAATCTCTAAATCTGGTTAAATTTCGTTAAATACAGTATTTGGAGAACGCTAGGAAGACCGTGTTAATAAATTGTTAAATTTCCACATTTTATAAATTCAAAATATGATATATTCATTGGACTAATAAATTGTAAAAAATACACATGAAAAAAATAAATTCATTTAATTTTTCGGTAGAAATCTAATGATAAACTTCAAACGTATTCCCTTTTGAATCTCAATGAACAAATCTCATTACTCCTGAAATGCATTGACACATTTGGTAACTTCGATCAACCAAATGAAATTGAATTTGCTTCGGTAGAAAATCGAATACTAAATGAATTTTCAATGTTATTGAAGCATTTATTTATTCTTAATATTATTTATTTTAATAAATATATTTAAAAAAAA